GATGTAGTGACTAGTCGCTTTTAATATTCAATGCATTAATTTTATACCAATTATTTTTTGTATTACTTTTGCATTTGTGAATACACTTTTTAATTTCATCGTATGGATTTAATGAATAAATTCTAAAAGTTTCAAGTTCTTAAATTAAAATTTATACTGGTATTGATAATTGTTTATATAAAATTTAAAATAAAAAAATTAAATTGTTTACAATTGTTGTTGTTTGAGATTAAAAGTGAGAATGTGTGTGCGAGCTCGAGTTCGAATTATAAAATTATATTGCTGGCAAACGTCAGACTGCCTCTCAATGATCTTACCTTGTAATGTTTTTATCAATATTGCAGTAAAAATAAAAGTCATGAAAGCCTTTTCGTGTGCTACTTGTTTAAAAATAGAAATTTTGCATGTTTTTTGTCATTTCATTAGGTTTGTATAGTAACCAATAGTCAGTGCTAATTAGTACTGATACCTGCAAATTTTTACTGGAAAAGTGTATGATAACCCAAAAAATTTGCAAGAGTACTGAATCGAGAGCGTAACACACGGGACAGCTGCAAATTCTTGCTAGTGAAATTTTTACTAGCAGAAGAAGAAGAAGAATAAATGTCAAAAGCCGCCATTTGTTGAATTGGTTTAGCACAAACAATAGTAAAATAAGTGGAAAGCAAAATATTAATGATGTACTGGACTGTGCAAGTGCTTGTGTGTAAAGCAAAGAGTTTAAAACTGATTTATAAATAGTAAAATGTTTACAGTAAAATATCAAAATGGTGCAACAACTATTCACTTGCAAGTTTTTACTAGTTTTGTGTTCAAAAACTTTTTCTGCTAGTTTTCTCTTCTTCTCATTTTTACGCTCTATTTTGCTTTTACGTTCTCGCTGCAATGTCACGGTGCAGCGAACAAAGGTGGCGCCGTCAGTGGTACCGCTTCTTTGGTTTTGCCGATTTTGACAGTTGTGGTAACTTGTAAATAAACCTTTGTTTACAAATCAGCGAAAGAGAAATATGAATTATAAGTGAAAAATCAGTTTAAATTGTGTTAATTTGCAATTTGTGAGTGATTTTTGAGTTGAAGACTGCGTAAAAACTAATACAATGAAGTGATGTGTGTTAAATTGCGACAGCCGTCAAGATGCAAGAAGCGTAGATGCAAGTGTAGCGCTGGGACGAATCGCTGCATTTTGTTTACATAGGGCACGGCAAAGCCGTTCCCGAAATATTTCTCTATTATTATATTAACAGCAATTCCTCACAATGATTTTGTTTCTGCTCCACGCAACCTCCATTAGCAAGTTAACTAATCAATCCCGCAGAGATGCTGCTGCAGTTTTCTGCAGCAGCCTTAATTGCAAAGCAATGGAGTGTACTAAAACGTTTGCTGAAGCAGCCTCAATTGCAAAGCAATGGAGTGCACTAAAATGTTCACTGTTCTCTAATAGATTAGGTGAAAAATGCAATATTTTCGCATTTAGCAAAATTAAAACACGTTTTTCGCTGTAAAGTGAACTGCTTTGGCAGTTTCAACTCGTTCTTCTTTTCGCTCTATTCGTTGTTTACTTGTGGTACACAAATGTCAACGCCCAGGATGGCGCAATCTTGTATTATATCCAGCGTTGCCATTTTAGCCGTTTTCCGCCTAGATTTAGCCGGTTTTGATAGCAACTAGCCGGAGAAAATTCGATCTAGCCGGCAGCCGATTTGTTAGCCGGTCTGTAAAAAAAAGTTAGCCGTTTTTAGCCGATTTTACTATTTGCCTAATTTTCAGGTGCAAAAAGTAAACAAGTTGTTCGAAAGCAATAATGCAGACCCAATGAAGATTTTTAATGAACTCAATGTTTTACTTTCGCATCTATGCTCCCTAGTGGTTATTAGCGCGGACACATTTGATCCTATATGCTCCCCGTTGGAACCATACCTTGCTCCATTTCGTCAGTTTTATCACAGTTTTGAAGAGTATTTAAAAACAAAAGTAAGCACAAACGCTTTTGACCACGAAGCCGAGAAAATAATTCGAGAAAATGGTCGCTATTTTATTATCACTTTAATAAAGGAATTACGCCAAATATTGCCACACTAAAAAAAATTGACTTTTTTCGGTTGGAAATGCATTAAGAGTAATTAAACCAGAAGTATTTGTTCAACTACAGCAACAAAAACAAATATAATGCCGACGAAATAACATCCATAGAGATGCAATGGCAACGGTTAACGTTACATACCTGGAGTAATTTAGACTCAACTGTAAAATTTTGGGCCGAAGTTTATCAATTTCGAAATGCCCTAGGAGAAAACCCTTTTGCTGACCTTTCCAACCTAGCTTTTAGTTTTCTTGTTTTGCCTATAAGTAATGCAGAAGTAGAGCGAATATTTAGTTCAATGAATACAATAAAAACTACGCAAAGAAATCCAATGTGCGTTAAAACGTTAAACGCTATTTTATACATATATAAGATACGGTTTAAAACTTGAAGAAAAATGCTGCCATAATTTTACTGTAGATGACGATCTCTTAAAATTAATGAATTCAGGTGATATATACAATAGTGATTCATTTGATGATGAGGAATATACACTCGATATAAATTAATGGTGTTAACTAGTCTTTCGTTTCTTGTGATTTATTTAAATAAAGCATGTGAATTTTCACTAAAACATTTTAGCCGCTTTTTTTTGCCAATCTAGCCGGTCGGCCCAAAAAGTTCTGGCAACACTGATTCTATCATTCTTGCTGCAATGTTTTACTGGAGAAGTTACTATACAAACCTATTGAATATTCGGCATAAGGCTTAATATATTTTTGTTTAATTATTGATTGATAATAATAATAATATAATAATATAATAATTTGATATGATTTGATTTACAGTGGCACGCATGAAACCCCTTGATGTATGTACATTTCTCCATACATCTGTGCAGATATGTATCTATGCACTGCATATACATATGTATACCTACGTACAAATGAGTCAATTCAAAATATAAAAAACATAACTACAGGCCCAAGCAGCGCAGCCATCGCACCTGTTGCTGCCACCGCTTGTACAGAAAAATTTTGTTAAACAAATCGAATCCTTTTCCGTAGCAATTATTTTTGTTACAAAGTCTCACTTATAATTATGTTAAATTGTATAAAAATACACTCACCCGTGCAACCCCGCCACGATTTCTAAAGTTGGCAAAATTTTCCTGCACTGGCCAGCGTCACTTGATACCACTTGCGAAATTGGCACTTTAATTCAACACTTTTACTAATATTTCACATTTTTCTTATAGCAAACACTCACATCTGCAATATTTCGCACACAACTCTAAATTCGGTGCAATATTTCAGGAGAAATTAGTATTTTTCACAATTTTCTCACTCGCGGAAATGAAAAACAAGCACAACGGTTGAAATGGCGGCGGAAACTTGGTTGCCATAGCATTGCACACTGAATTTATTTAAAAACGCCTCGTTAGAAAGTCTCCCCGCTAGAGGGCTCAGCGTTCTTTATTGCATATTTTTACCGGTAGCTGTTTACAACGCGAGAAAACAGCTGATAATGACAACCGCGAATGAAAAATATGAGCAAACGTTTACTAATTTAGTGGGAAAGAAAATAAACTGTAATTGATAAAAGCTCCTTTTAACTAACACTCCTATCCTTTTAAACTAAAGCAAACAGAGGTAAAATGGCAAATATAACTGCAGCAGTTATCGCAAATCGGAACAAAAAGCATTTTCTGGGCGTACCCGCGCCACTTGGCTATGTTGCTGGTGTTGGTAGAGGGTAAGTATAATTTCTCCATTAATACATCGAGTTATGGAAACTCTTTTAAAAAAAAAATCTATAGCGCCACCGGTTTCACTACGCGTTCCGATATCGGTCCTGCCCGCGATGCCAACGATGTGTCTGATGATCGCCATGCACCACCCGCTGCAAAACGCAAGAAGAAAGAAGAAGAGGAGGAGGAAGATGAGGATTTGAACGACTCTAACTACGATGAATTTAGCGGCTACAGTGGCTCACTTTTCTCCAAAGATCCATACGACAAAGATGATGAGGAGGCTGATGAAATTTACGATTCCATAGACAAACGTATGGATGAGAAGCGTAAGGAGTACAGAGATCGTCGTATGCGTGAAGATTTAGAGCGCTA